AAATCTTAAAATTGGGACATTGTGGGTTCAGGCTGGCTTGCTGGCTTGAGCTTGTTCCATCTTGTAATATATTTTGTTTTCCTCCTTTTCTCGTGAGATGTGGGTTTTCACATCCCGTGTGAAGAGTAGTACAACGAACATTTTTATTTAAAATTTTTCAAAGTTTTTCTTTGAGTTGGTGTCCTTTGGGAGCATTTTCTGAGTACTTAGTTGTGTGTCCCAAGCTCTGTGTTGGTCTTTCCAAATATAATTGATTCGAACAATTGTCAAAATGATAGTCTTCGAGGGGAATGATTGGATACCAATTGTGGATTTGGCTTAATCCTTCCACATGAGCTTGAATGTCCTATTGAATCCTTTGTGCATAGTCTATTGGAAGAGTTTCCTATGAAGCATCATCTTCAATCTTAGGCTAAATTTATGGAGGGATGTTTGATTAATTTCTGTTATCTTTCTCTGTAATGTTCTGAATTCTTAAGGGTATCTTTTGCATTCTTTGTGGAGATTGAATGGTTGGATCGCATCTTCTCGAACGTGAGAGAGATGTTCATAATGTCCTGATTCGGTAAAATAACCCTGTCTTTGGAAAACTAGTATTACATGAACATTAACAAACGGAGTTCTAAGATCTTTGAATTTTATATAAAAATTTCGAAATTTTTCTCTCCAATGTGAGAGAGGATAAAACGAATCAAAGAATCTTACTTCATCGTTTGAGTGAGAAATAAATCCTGGGTAATTCTTCCAAAGTTGTGAAGTTCTTTCTGAAAGCCATGAAACCATGATATCAACATTAAAATATATTGCAATTTGATGTATCTCAAAAAGATACCATAGAAATCACAAAAGTTCTTTTGTAAATTTTTCTTGAATTTGTTGTGGATTAAAATAAAAAAGATTTAAAAATGGATATTTTGGGTGAAAGCCAATCCCACCAAGATGGATCCCATTTTGCCTAATAACAATGGATTGATATTTTAGCATGATTGTCTCAAGTTAAAAGTATCTTGTCATTTTGTATGTATTGTTTGTTGTATTGCAAAATAATTGATAACACACTATTTGCTTTATTAAAGTAGATTCCACTTTATAAAAAATGGGTCTATCCAGTCAAAAGATGGGTGTTTACTAGTGTGATAATTATACTCGAGTCATGTATGTTCTAAAAGTTGTTTGTCGAATCATCTAATTATTGTATTAGTTCATGTGATTGTACGAGATTCTTCTCCTATAAAAGGAACTCTCCTCCTTCATTGTGAGGGCATCAAAAAATTCAGAAATAAAAACTTGAGTTCCTTGAGATCACGAGTTTCTAAATTCTCTCTGTTTCTCACTGGAATCGAGAATATTGATATTAGTTTTAACAGTAATGACAAGCCAGCAATTTGTGCAACAACATAAGTATGCTTTGCTATTTCCTCTTTTGAGGATCTTTAGCATCAAAAAATGTGTTGTAGACTAAACAATCCGCCAAGGTGATTGGCAATCCTAAAAGTTTGGCCCTATATTTGTTTGCCATTTAATTTTGCATCTCTTTTTTATGTAAGATGCAAGTGGTATACTTAGACGAAAATTTGTTATGAAGAGTGGCATGCATCGATTTCAAGGAGCTTTACAAGCAAAAGCATTCGGACAACCAATGGATGGATGAATTAGCAGCAGTTCAAGCATGCTCCATTCCTGATCTGTCGCATATGATGACGTCTGGAATTATGGTTGCCAGTGAAAATAATCTCAGTAGTGGGAATTTTGAGGGTCCGTTTGGGTCGAATGGCTCTTTGGAATCTTCTACGTCAAATTCTGATGGTAGCAAAGGTACATTTTCCTTAAATTCACCCAATTAATTATCTACTTTGCACGTTTTCCTAATTTTTCTGTCTTGACCATCACTTTAATTGGACGGCACACCCTTTTCCTCGTCTGAAGTTCATCTTGTTAATTTGCTAATAAATGCTACTCTCCTTTCCTTGCCTGAAGTTCTCATCTATGATAAATGCTCTAGATCAATTTATTCTTTTTTTAGTCTTAATTGCATTCTGTTAGTCGACTCTAACATTCTAGCCTTTAACCTTGTGGTTCTTGAGAATGCCATAAATACACGGACGAATCTTTTTCCAAGGTAGAAAAGGAATTAAAGTTTTTCCAATTGTTCATGGATATTGTTGAACCATTTTATCTAAAAGTTTAAACTGTTAAAAGAGGACAACATGTATATTATTTTAAATCTTGTCTTCAACAAGCCTGTCACATGTACTTTGGATTGACTTATCTCATCAAAACGTCCAAAATTTCATTAAATGGGTGGCAGTGGAGACGAGACCTGAACTTCATATTATGTTGAATCACTTAATCTAAAAATTTCAAACGATTATATCTGGCGACATATATACCATTTAAATCTTGTATTCAACAGAAACAATAACATGAGATCGTTAAGGGATAATTAGAAACATATGTTTAACTTGCATTATAGAACATTTGTTTATCATCAAATCTCTATCTTATAGCCTATATCTCCAGTAGAAAGTTGGCATATTTTAATCTTTAAGTATTTCCGGCAGAAAGAAAGCCTGCTTCCGATCAGACGTCATCAACATCAGCTAAAGTCCAGTTACAGGTGCCATGGACGGAGGGGATACCTTCGTATGCATACAACTTTCAAAACCCTCCTCAACAATACCAAGGATATCCTTTCCCGGGTATGCATCCCATGCTCCCTTATTATCCCGGGCATATGGTATGGCCTCAAAATGCGAACGGTTCTCCTAATGGCATTGTTCAACCGTCTAACGGTCATCAAAATCAAAAGTCATCTCGGAGAAAGGAGAAACCTTTAGATGCGAATGGAGCAGAAACATCTGAAGAGGATGAACAAAATGAATCTATTGACTCTTATTCCGGGACAGATTCAGATGAAAGTAAAAAGCATGGCAAGAAGCATTCTTCAAAGGGGCAACTGTATGTTAAAAAGCACAAGCAGAAGTCCTCAAAAACTGTTGTAATTCGTAACATAAACTACATGACTTCTGGGAGGCACAATGAAGAAGAGGATGGAGTCTCTGATGATTCTTCAGCTCTTGATGAAGCTTCCATCAGAGAGGGGGTGGACAATGCAATTGCATCATTGGAGAAACATTCTCACTTAAAAACTCATAAAAATAGAGGACATCGAGGATCCCATTCTCAAAATGGATCTATTAATGATGCCGAGCAAGATTTTAAGAATGGCATTGAATCAAGTATTTCCGATAGAGTGGAAATAAATGGCAGCTGGGACGCCTTTCAGAATCTTCTCATGAGACATGAGGAGTCAACTCCTAATGCCTCGCAGTATGATCACATTATGGATTCTCTGGATGCTCTACATTTCGAGTCGCAGAAAATTAAGAAACAACCTTTGATCACTGACGACGCTATTCTTGTGACTCAGAGAAATGGAGAGAATGATGGAAGAGATGACGTGGAAGATTTTATAAATGGTGAAAATACCCACCCAATGGTGAAGAGAACTGTTTCTGAAGATGAGAATGCATTGTATTTGCATAGATCAGAAGAATCAAGGCCAAGTCCGCTCAGGACCACATCTGATTTTGCTGCAGAATCATCCACTATCAGAAATCGAAAGGCGGAAGATTGGTTTGTTAAATCTTTTGGAGATTCAGAGCAAATAGAATTCGACAATCTTGGCAAAATGTCCCACGAGGGGAACTTTGTTCGCAAAGAATCAACCCAAAAAACTGCTTTGGTCGACGATTCCATTATCATTGAGTCTAGGCCAGCAGTATATGATCAGTATGATTCTTCCTGGAGAACTGATATAAGCATGGTCGAGGACGTAAATATAGCTACACAGACTGAAAATAAAAATTCAAATGTTTCACAGGAAATACCCAAGCAGGCCGAGCCCGATGAACTCTGCATGGTGCTTGTGAGGGAGTCACGTGAATCCGTGGCAGAAACCTGGACACCGGAAATGGATTGTGAAGCGGAAATTTCTTTTACGGAGGCTGATAGAAGATCTTCTCTAGTTAAAGAAAATGGTCATGTAGAAGAATACCCTCTTGTCAATGGTAAAACCGCCAGTAGTAAGAAAGCCGCGGGTCCAACTACGAAGAATCTAGGAAGGGACAGGGACGTGAAATCTAAAGTTATGGCGGGATCCTCTGCGAGAAAGCCTGATACCTTATCAAAGAATAAGATGACGTCTTCTGCAAGTAGGTTGATGGGTCATAAGAGCAAGTTAGAGAAGGTATGAATATCTTCTGTTATTTACGTCCATTCTGTCTTCATTTTTCCCGTTCTCAATAATATACAGGCATTTCTTTTGCAGGAAGAAGATGCGCGGAAGAGAATGGAGGAATTACTGATTCAACGGCAGAAGAGAATTGCTGAAAGAACAGCTGCTTCTGGTGCGACTCCCGCATCTAAGAAGACCCCAGTCGGAAGTAAAACAGCTCCATCAATGCTTGAGAAACATCGGTCTAAATCGATGGTCCGCTAGATGAGATTACTTAAATGCCGAAGAAATTTGATCTCGTGAAATTCATTACAAAGAAAGAATTGTGAAGCAGCAAGTTGAAGACAAGTGTTTCGAGCCTTAGCACATCATAGATTATGGCATTCTCGATTTATCAGCAATGTGTTGCATCAGCACGCAGAGAAATAAGTTAGATGTCATCAATCATCAGATGAAGTTTTCTAGACATTCTCTGTTCTATTTGTATACCGTAATGACATTTCAAATACCATTTTTTATCCTTCCTGTTGAATTGTTGATTTTTCATCATCAAATTTCTTGAGTTATCAATGAGGACATTATTTTATCACCGAAACTAGATCCCATTATGATATTGAGATATCGTTTTGTTCACCAATAATGTAGTATATGAATACTGACGTACAAAAGAATACCCACCTAAGGCAACGCTGGGGTTGATCAGCGGAGGCCATTCCATGCTCAAGTAAGCTAGGAATGAGTATAATACACGAGAAAATCCTGATAGAACCGAACTCACTACTAACTGAAGTGCAATACCCGATCATATTATAGTTTATACAGTATCCTTGTAGTCAAAAGCACAGGAGTGCAAAGGTTATCAAGCCATGAAGGGGAAGTGATTACAGTAGACTAATCAAAGGTACCACCACCACAACATACACGATTTATCACAGTGCAGTAAAGCAACAACCGTACAGATTGCAGAACAATAAGCATTACCACAACTTAAAAGCCCTTGGCTTACCATCTTCAGAAGTTGCAAGAGACAACTCAAAACTTGAAATCCTTCTTCTTAGATTTGCCCTCTTTTTCCTGCATCTTTCTTTTCCTTTTCTTCTCATTCTGTTCAATTTGATTATGTTAGTAAGTTTTCCCTTGGGGTGGTGTGAGGTGGGGTTAGAAACGAGTCACTGGAAAATGAACAATTGCAACGTGCACGTACCTCAGCAACCATGTCACTGAAATCTTCCTTCTGAGTTCGCAACTTTTCTTCTTCTCGGGCTTCCTCGTACCTGGGGAATACATAACATGGTGATGATTCTGTCGATCAATGATATGATTACCAAAAAAGGCCCTCGACTTACTTGGCAGGCAAAACATTGTCCATCAGTTCCAACTCTTCTGGTGCTAGTGTGACATCAACTCTGTCTGATTTCTGACCCCTAAGCAAATCAACCTAAGATGAACACAGTAAGAGAGAGATCATCAAGTCTATTGTATTCGTCTCCATTTGGCAAATTTATAAATGGGTTATAAAGAGGAATAATAGTACGAATATTAGTGGTTCTCACGAAATGTGTGGAAAGCAAAAATAAAGAAACCCCTACCTGTTCGAATTAATTGAAGAATGAAAAGTGCCAGCCCAAATCAATCTGATTGATTTTTCAATCAAAAGTACTATGTGAATTCTTCGGTTTTTTCCCTAATTAGTTGTCATCAATTGTGTGGTTGAAATTAATATTTAACTTCGACTAAATTTATAAATTATTTATAAATTGGTATCCAAACGGAAGCTTAATCTGCAACAGAACATCTATTCAGTTTTTTATAACTTGCCAGAGACTAATGATTCATGAAACCCAATACACGAAACAAAAAGTGATTTAGAAACTGCAGATCTAATAATTTTGAATTTCATAGGTCGAAATTATTAATCAGCCGGTAACTCGCAACTCCAATATCTGTGCATGCATTTTGTCCAAAAATATTAAAATAGTTTCTCCAACAGAAAACTTGTCAGGCGGAATTATGAAAGCAGTCAACTAGAATTAAGAAAGCCTACCAACATAGTTTCCCAATATCACTGATAAGCAATTCATAGCTAGCAACCAATTAATAAAGCAGAACTCTACTTTTTGTAAGTAAAAGTAAAGGGAAAAGGAAAAGGAAAGAATGAGAAAATCAAATTCCTTTACCCTTTTAGCACCGGTCTTGTCCTGTGTGCCAGTGTTGATCAAATACCTGTACGAGTAGTAGTGGGAATTTAATTCACAATTTAAAACTGAACTGTAAAAGCAGATCCATATTTGTCCAAATAAGCAGAAAACATACGTGTGACTTGTGCCCAGCAACGTTCCCGGTGCTATCTTCTCTTCTTTTTCCTCCAGGACCTTCAAAGAACAGGAATTGATTGGGAAGATGACAGCAGTCAAAAGTTGTACTCACTTGATAGAGAGGCTTCTCAGGTTCCTTCCTCTGTTGCTTCCGAAGGTCAATAACATCAGGGGTTTCAACCCCAGTAGGAGTGCTGAAACCCATTCAAAAAGAAAAAACAAATCAGAGACTCAGAATCAACCCAAATAGGATATGAACAAACATTAAGCCCCCGTTTGATTCCCATTCTTATAAGAATGAGAATGAAAAATATATCCGTTACGGGACCCACGTAAGAGAGAGAAAGTCAAATATGGTGGATTGATATGACGGATAACGGTCATATTTTTTATTTTTGTGGCCAAAGAATGGGAAACAAACGGGGCCTAAATATATATACACAGGCACAAACAAAGGAACGTGTAAAAACTTGAAAATGGACCAGTGCCAGTAATGAAATCATCTTTCAATTTAAGTATTCCAATCAATTGATACAACCAACCAGCCTTTCTTTGATGCGAATTTGACGTTTGTTATCCATATCAAACATTGTTATGAGAAGCACAAGGACCGTTCACCACCTAGGGTTATACTGGGCATTCCATTTTCATGCTAGTCCCACATTCATCAATACTAGAAGTTCAACATCGATGTGAAGAAGAAACATTGAACACAGGCATAGGCAAATACTATACCTTGAAAGGCTATCGACGGATTGAATGCCATCTTCTAGTTCCTCTTCCTCGATCTGTTCTTCCTCTTCCTCATCCTCCTCTTCTTCTTCTTCCTCCTCCTCCAAATCACCCCAATGCTTAGTCTTATCAACAGGTTCCTCCTGAAAATCAGGCTCGATATGATGAAGTTGGATAAGTTAAATATTAAGCACAACAGCAGACACATGAACCAGAATCAGAAAGCATAAAAACATTTAGGAAATTCTTCATAAAATCATATTCTGGTTTTCACCTCATAATTGGGCTGGTCTTGTTGCAAAACGCCAAAAACATCTCCATACAAGGGCCGTCCATACTAGTGGAAGCGAAAAATAAAGAGTAAGAAAAATAAACAAAGAAGGGTAAAAGTGCAAATGAATAACAAGGGAACAAAGGTAAACCTACTTCATCAACAGGTGGTTTGCCCCAGTCTCCGTGCCCATAGCCAAATTTAGCTCCAGGAGGAATAGGAGCATTAAGCCCCGGAATTTTCAGACTTGGGTAAGAAGGTGGAGGACCATATCTCTGAAATGAAGGAATATAAAAAAAACAGCAATTAAACTCATCTCTTTCCCAAGGAAAATGGGGGTAGATTTTCAAGAGATATACTGATCAACAAAGCTGAAGATATAAAATGAGGTATCTTCTCCAACCTGCATATTGATCAGCCAAGGAGGAGGAGCACCATCGGGCATGCCAAGAGCCTCTTTTAGTTCCTGCGACAACATTCCTGGCTTCATTTCTCGAAGTTTTACCTGCGTAATTCAAACAAGCAGAATAAATAACATGTAGTTTAGCAATTTGAGGACCCATTTTTTAAATTTTCTCAGGCAAACCAAACCATAGCTTCAAATCTAATCAACTAGACAGCCAATATTCAGAACCTTGAGTGTGTCAAAACAAAGTTGAAACAACAATCTGAAGGATTGAAAACAGACTAAGCATTGCACGACAAAGCAAGATGTAGAACTCAGAAAAAAAAAAATATGATATAATATTTTACTAATTGAAGGATTGTAAAAGGTAAAAGTGATAAATTAACAATCACATATCCTAAAAAACATTATCATCATATGATGTCCCAGTATTTTTGAAACTCTTGATACGAAAGAAATTGATTTGTCTCTCCTTTCCTATCAGCGAGTTCTGAGCACACATTTGTTGGCTTAATCCAAAACATACATTAAAGAACAAACTCAATGTTGCAGACAAACATTTCCGGTGAACTAAATACCTCAAATTCCTTCCCTTCATAATACAAATCACCATGTGCCGTCAGTTTCGGTTTAGTCTGATGCTTGAAGAAGGCATCATGGAGGACCTGTAAAAGATAATGAGAAGTGAAGTGTCAAAAAAATACAAAGAGAAAAAGAAAAGAAATAAGTGACTCATGAATTCCACACACACACACCCCCACACTGATACCGGTTTAGACTCTTTAGACAAATACAAGTTACCACAGAGAGAGATTGCAGGGCCATATATTTTCGAAATTCAGAACTAAGAAAACCTGATAGTCAATATCCATTTTTCCCATTTTCGGCTGCATCTTTTCACGTTGCTTTTGTTTCAGCTTCTTGCTATCCTCCTTTTCAATGTAAGCCTGCATATCAACACACAGCAGGATTAGTTGCATAGAAAAAAACGAAGCAAAACTCAATAAGTTGGGCAGGAAGAAGTGAGATAATGTAAATGGGATAGAAGAAAGTCCACTGATTGAAGCTTAACTAGCTTATTGACTTACTAAAAGATACTGAGAAGGACAACGAATATCTGAATACAGAACATGAATCATGCAATAATGTCATCAGAGCAACTTTTTAGTATTATTCTTCAAAAACAAGAAAAAACAAAAGTATCCCCTCTTAGGTCTTGATATTTTTTGTCTTCTAAAGAGCCTAACCTTAATAAAAATGATGGAGATCAAGATAAGAATAAAGATAGAGATAGATTTTAATTAGAATTTTAAAATAGAGTTGATTTAAAGTATATTTAGTCAGATTAGATCAAGTTAGTTTTGATATTTTGATACAATTAAAGTATATAAGAAATTTGTTTCCTTTTAGCTTCTTAGTTGTACTTCACGACCAGATTTTATGAATAAAGATGCACTCCATTCTTCTCTTCTTTGGCCCTCTTTCTTTACTTAATCTTTAATTGTCCTGTCAAATATACGCTTCCACGTAAGAAAACCTCCAAGGGAATAGGAACAAAAATTATTCTGAAGCAGCTCTATCTAATCTCCCACTGTTCTTCAGTAGCTTAGTGGTAAAGCGAGCGGTCAGCTGTTAACAGATTGGTTGTAGGTTCGAATCCTACTTGGGGGTTGCCTTTTCTGAGGTTTTTCTTTTTCTTACTCAAGTTTTGAAATTATCAAAGTGAAGGATCAAGGATGGAATGAAAGGGGAGAAAGAGAAGAGATCAAATAAACAAAATGAGGTACATGAAAAGGCAAGAATCTACATAACATGGCAAAAGGGCTTGACCAATAGGTCCATGAATGTTGATTATTCAACATAATCAATCAAATACTATACTATTACTAGGAAAAAACTTCAAACATTGAGAATTGAACAAAGGACAGCACGCATGTGATAAAAAATTAGGTAAACGTCCATTGGCTGTGCTCGACAAAAGTGTGCTGACTCAAGCATTCATCTTATTCAAACACAAGTTCTATAACAACTTCTGGGTCAAAATAGGTACACAACCAGAGAACAAAAAATGAACCGCATGTGATGTTGATTATTCAACATAATCAATCAAATACTATACTATTACTAGGAAAAAACTTCAAACATTGAGAATTGAACAAAGGACAGCACGCATGTGATAAAAAATTAGGTACACGTCCATTGGCTGTGCTCGACAAAAGTGTGCTGATTCAAGCATTCATCTTATTCAAACACAAGTTCTATAACAACTTCTGGGTCAAAATAGGTACACAACCAGAGAACAAAAAATGAACCGCATGTGCCCTGTCACCAAGAACTGCTGCTTTGTCTAGGCACCTGCCTAAAGTCATATCCATTTGCAAATGAAGCATAGTTTAATTAAAACTTAATCATAATCAACTTAATATTATGAGCTTTTTTTTAAGCATTCCTCACTTTTTCTCACTTTTTTGAATTTTTGTCTTCCGATTCCAAGTTAATATATTAGTTAATAGAAGTAAAATATAATTACAAAAAAAGAACACAAAAGAAAATCAACCATCCAACATATTCTAATGTTTTGATTTGTTTGTCACTTTTTTGAGTATTTGTCATTTTTTTTAGTGCCATCACTTTTTGGAGTTTTATCACTTTTTTAAATTGTCACTTTATTGAATTGCTTTCATATTTAATGCCACAAGAGAGATGGACATAGATGATGAGAATTGTCTGGGGATGGCAAAGGGGCAGGTATGGGTCGGCGCACCCTTCCCCACCCGCCCCACTGGATTGTTTCTCGCCCCATACCCGTTTAAGTTGGGAATGTGTCGGGAGCGGGGCAGGTCTCGATGGGGTGGGGTGGGGCGGGGCGGGGCGGGGCAAGTCTCTTGTCCCATTTATCGTCCCATTTATTTTTTTATTCATTTTTTTTTGCTTTTATTTTTTTTATGTCCTTAGTTAATAAATATTATTACTTTTTCCCCAATTTGTTAAAAACAATTTATGTTCTCTTTAAAAATGATGATAAATCAATTATTTTTGTTTGATATAAACTTATCTTTGAAATTAATATTAAATGGGGCAGGGACTATGTTTCTCGTACCCATCCCATACCCGTTTCAAGGCAAGGACCCTCCTCCCATACCCGTCCCACGTATCCGTTTAGACGGGTATTCCCTTACCCATTCGGGGCGGGCCCCCACGAGTATCGGGTTGAACGGGTTTTCTTGTTATCTCTAGATCGCTGCCACCATTGGTTTCATCTATTTTAGTCGTGATAGTGCCAAAAAGATCTAGCTCGACCAGCCCATTTCATTCAGGAGTCGCGGCTAGAAAATTTTGATTTTCATCTTAGTTGTTATTCAGTTCCGACGATACCCAACCTTCGCCGTCCACTGCCACTTGTATGCAAATTTTAATTTTGTGGTGATCGAAGTTAACGGTGATTAGAGTTGTCATTGGCCTGAACAGGAGTTGAGAGAGAGAGATAGATTATATATTAATATATTTGTGTTTGTATATGTGGCGAAAGAAAGAGTTGTTATATTTAGAGGGAGAAAGAGAATCCCGTTTTAAAAGGTTGAGAGAGAGTATATAAGATATTTTTAATGAGTTAGAGTGGGTGTATACAGGGATGGCAAACGTGCTCGTTGACTTGGGCCGCCCTTGACTCTGTACGAAAAAAGCCCAAGTTGAGTGGGCTCAAGGTTCGGAGACACCGAACCCCACTTTGGGGAGTTGGCTTGAGCTCTGGTCGGACTGCGAGCCACATGGATAGGCTCGTTTAAATTAAAAAAAAAAAAGAAAAGGAAAAAACACAAATGAACTAAGAACAGCATAAAATTACCCAAGATTAGCAACTCAAGTTTCCATTTTTCACCAACAGAAGATTCTGTTTCTTGATTACAAACAATAGAAAACATAGATCATCATCACTTTTGCATTTGATCCCCCTGTAACTATAATGGGTTAAATACTCCTACTAAATTACAGAACACTGGAAACAGTTGCATCAGTTGCACTGAAGGTGTATACAGAATCTATCGCAAACATATATATAATTCTTTGGTCGAAAATTTCTAAATTAAAATGAAGATCACAAAAGAAACCTTCAGCTTCTCAATGAATCTCCCTTTCCATTCAAAGGTCTACCAATCTTTCTAGCCTCTTACAATATGATTATCATTTTCTAGCACAACTCCTTAAACCATAAAAAGGGGAAGGAAAACGATACAAATCTCTCACTCTGATTATCAGATGAAGGTATCTGAGCATAAAAAATGTATCACAGAGATAAAACAGTATTAAGAGATGCTCCACATTGACCTTAGATCTATTGAAGGCAACACCATTTATAAGACCAGTGTATTTGCTTCAAACTTTTAAGAAGTTAATGCTGTCAGTAAGAAGTGTATAGCTTGGAACTTCTCTTAACATAAGTTATCTAAAACATGTGGTTTTCTATTCAAGATGTTCCAATACTACCAAAATTAGCTTGAACTATATTCAATTCAACACTATAATTCATTTTTTTGTTCTAGTACCCATAAACAGCTCAAGTGTCAAAGACTCAAAAATATATGGGGAAAAAACAAGTAAACAACTCGACAGGTAGACTTAAGAATAATCAGCTTTGTCTACTTGTTAACAAGGAAATCTAAAATTGAACTTCAATAACCACCCATAGTTACACTAACTACATTTATTTTCACCAAATTTAAGCTATGTGAAAATGACATAATAGCTTATTCCAATGCACACAAGCATATTTTATGTTGAATGAACTGTGAATCCCTAAACGCAGATCTATACCAAAAATTGGAAAATAACATTCCACGTCCATATTCCACTCAAGTAATTGCTTAACGATTTCACGACCCTAAAATTAACGTCAAGAAATTGGAGTAATACCTTCTGCGGATCGGAGTTCTCTTTGGAGCTGTCATCGGCGATTCCATCCTCTGCTGCCGTGTCGCTGTCATCTCCGGCGGCTGAGGCCTGTAATGCCTTATTGTTCTTTTTCTGCTTCCGGCGTCTTCTCCGCCGCTCGTTTTCCCGCGATTTCTTGGCGGCAGTATTGCTAGGGTTTTTGGAATTCAGATCGCCGTTGGCGTACAGCCGGGACTCTGCAGCGTCCTTTGCTACTTCAGCTGGCATTTTTATTCTCCTTAATAATTCTTTTTGTTTAGAAAAAAGAATTAAACGCCCTCTCGAATCTCGATTTTCCTCTGTTGGAGAGTGAGTTTGGAGGGAGAGATGAAACTGATACGGATGACACGGGAAAGATATGTAAAGGGAAATTTACACTTTTGGCTTCAAATTATGGCCTCAGTAACAAATTGATCTTCAACTTTTAAAAAGATACGAGTTAATCCTCAACCTTTTATTATAATTGGAGAGACAATCTCAAACTATATATATAACATTATGAAGTTAGATTTTGCTTTCTAGTCTAGATTCATGTTAAAATATTCGGTATGAGATCTAATTCTACAAGTATCACGTGACCATTCAACAAAATTTTGGACATTTTTATCCTTGAAGTTTGATCATCTAAAAATAATGAAATGTTGAGAATCAATCAACAGAGATGGATTTAAGGGGGGTTGGGCTGGGCTGTAGTCCCCCCCCCCCCCCCCCCCCACCCCAAACA